TCAAGAAGAGCAGCCTTTGAATCTTGGAATTGTTTCCCCCTAGGATAAAACACATTAGACCCACTTAAATAATTTTAAAATAATTTAGTTTAGGCTGGAACACATTGTGCAAGCTTTTATTCCATCGGAACATTATTCTGAAATTATTGCCTCTCTTATTATCAGGGCTATTGATTTCTTTTCTTTTTTAAGCATTCAGCTTATGTTATTTGTGGTGTCTTCAAGCAATACTATTGGTCATAATTTTTTATCTCAGCCAAACAAAAACACAGCACTTACATGTTTCAGGCACATAGCCACAGCTTGAAACTTTTTATTTTTAAGCAAAACAAAAGCTCACATTCTCTAGTTACATTGGGGCCTGGAGAAGCGCTGGATTTAGGGTGGTACAGGCAGCTTACCTACACTGGGTGCCGAGCTGAGGGGGCACAAAATAAAAATAATAGTAACAACAACCATCTATATTTATACAGGTACCTACTGACAAGACCCATTTAAAAGCAACTGAACCAAAATGAATTATTGTGAAAAGAAATATTTGAGGAGGGGGGCAAATTGTGTCCTCTCTTACGGCACCATATTGCCAAGGTCCACCCCTGCCTGGAGGCATTGTAGGGGAATAAAGATGGCAGCAGTGCAACCTCTCTGCCTCGTACTCCTCTTGACTCCAGATTCTTTCTTCATTTTTAAAGCCACAGCATCCACTGTCCATCTGCACCGGCAGGTAGACTTGCTGGGAAGCTCTGCCAGCCACCAGGGTGGTATTTTGGGGGGACACCAGGGTGGTGCTGGGGTAGCTTACTCAGGAACACTGCCCGGGATGCCCTCAAACCTCCCATTGGTCCATCTTGGGTATATTAGATTGTAAGCCCTTAAGAGATTGGGACCAGTTTATTTGAAAGATCACCCTATCCCCATACAGTGGTACCTCGGGTTAAGACCTTAATTCGTTCCAGAGGTCAGTTCTTAACCTGAAACTGTTCTTAACCTGAGGTACCACTTTAGCTAATGGGGCCTCCTGCTGCTGCAGCACTGCCAGAGCACGATTTCTGTTCTCATCCTGAGGCAAAGTTCTTAACCCGAGGTACTATTTCTGGGTTAGTGGAGTCTGTAACCTGAAGCGTATGTAACCGGAGGTACCACTGTATATGCCAACTCAGCCACTTCAGTTCATGGAACCGGCCAAGTGCCACATAATGTTTGTTCTGCCCTTGTAAGGAACTATTAGTGTGGCAGCTCTTTCATTCTGTTAGTTCCTGCCTATTGACACAAAGCAGGCACTTTTGTTGTTTCCTTTTCACAGCTTGCTAAAACTTTCTGTTTAGACAAGGCTACCCAGACATGCAGACGCTGTGGTCTAAACCACTGAGCCTCTTTGACTTTCCTATCAGAAGGTCGGTGGTTTGAATCCCCGTGACGGAGTGAGCTCCCATTGCTCTGTACCAGCTCCTGCCAACCTAGCAGTTCGAAAGCACGCCAGTGCAAGTAGATAAATAGGTACCGCTACGGCGAGGAGGTAAACGGCGTTTCCGTGCACTCTGGTTTCTGTCACGGTGTCCCGTTGTGCCAGAAGCTGTTTAGTCCTGGTAGCCACATGACCCGGAAAGCTGTCTGTGGACAAACACCAGCTCCCTTGGCCTGAAGCGAGATGAGTGCTGCACCCCATAGTCACTTTTGACTGGTCTTAACCATCCAAGGGTCCTTTACTTTACCTTAGCTTTTACCCAGACATGTAAAGCTGGTGTGTATGTTAATCTGCAAGACACAGATCCGGTACTTTCCCAGTGTGCCTGTTCAGCCCTGCACATTCCCAGTGTGTGGCAGCAATGCCAGGGTAGGAAGGTTGTCTTCATGGCATTGCTTCCCTGCACCAGCCTCTCATGCACACAGGGCAAAGCCATAGCCATGAAATTAGACATTTGTAACAACTGAAATAGAGGTTCTGGAATGAGGATTTGCCGCCATTCAAAATGGGGTTGCATTGTTTAATTGTGAGCTCATTACAAAACAACAATGAAATAAAAAAGGGATTAAGCTTTTGTGATATACCAATCACAGAAAGTGGCACGTCCAGCCTTGTTTCTTTTGTTTAACAAAGGCACTCTTGTGAGATGCCATTTTCAGATTTTAAAGCACAATCGAGGGGAATTGTATACCAGCCCCACAAAGAGACCAGCATTTGAAGTTTGCTGGTACAGGGTTCAGAATATTAGTGTAATATACTCTGGCAGATGCCAACACATATTTTGAAAGCAGAATTTGTTCCAGGGCTAATAACCTGTTAGGAGAGGTTCACTACACAATGATATGCCAGAGCAATGACAGTACCCCATGCCTAGTGTCAATAATTCTCTACATGCTAGTGAAATGCACATCCTTGCAAGGTGGTGTCAATCCCCATCGCCACCTCCCCAGGCAACTGGAAGGTTAAGGCAGACAGAGACCTTTCGTAGATGACATACTGTCAAGGGGCATACGAAAAATGAGCAGAAAAAGGAAAGTCTGGCTTTACAATTGGGCATTATTTGAAGGATAAATGCTCCTCCAAAAATCGTTCAGTCCATGTTCATGGAAGGGGGCTTAGGGGAAGGGCTGTAGCTGTGTGGTAGATCACCTGCTTTGCATGCAGAAGGTTACAGGTTCAATTCCCAGCATATCCAGGTAGAAATGTTCCCGTCTTAAAACCCTGGATAGTCACTGCCAAGGTAGGCAACTTGAGCTAGTATCCTGTCAATGGGCAAATGGCTCTTTTTGGATTCCAGCAGGTAATTAAAAAACCCACCAAGTCACTACGTTAGCAGGGTTTATTTGCTAAACAAGAATATACAGTAAGGCACAAAAACCCAGAAATCTTGCATTCCTCTGAGTGGCTGGGAAAGCTGCTCCAGAAGAGCAGCACACCCTCCTGTCCCTCCAGTCTATAAATGGCATTGGGATCTCCAATTAAGCAAGGGGCCAGTACTGGGCTTTCTGCTATTTATAATATCACATGATGATGTCACTGAACTTTTCCACTCTCCTGACTGGTGACTTCAAAGGACTGGCCGGTGGCCAAGGGTGACGGCTCATTACTCCTGTGCTAACCTCGTACATCAGTGATGCCCAGGCAGCTGCCCAGTGCCTTATCTTTCGATGGCCTTTAAGGGAAGCCCACCACACTTAGGACTGCACTTTCCCACGCTGTGGTCTTAGCAGAAGCCCTTTCTCATGACATCACACATTTCTGCACAATTAATTCTGTATGTAGGACACAGCCTAGGGGGATTCCATTACTAGTTACGCAGTTTCAGTTAACATACAGGCCCTGCATATGTCCTGAGAGAAGGAACCTGTTGAAATGGTACTCTCTCCTCACGATCATTACATATCTTCCATATTTTTCCCATGCAGCTCGGTGGACCAGTGGTCTGACTCAATGTGGGGTAGATTCCTATGTTCCTATCTACAGTGGTACCTCGGGTTCCGAACGCTTCGGGTTACAAACTCCACAAACGCAGAAGTAGGTTTCCCGGGTTGCGAACTTTGCCCCGGGATATGAACGCAATTCCTCTTCCGGGGCCTATGTAGGGAATGCGTACCTCGAGTTAAGAACGCTTCGGGTTAAGAATGGACTTCCGGAACGAATTAAGTTCGTAACCCAAGGTACCACTGTAATACGAAGTCTTTCTGTTGGTCACCAGGCAATGGCTTTTCCACCTGCCTTGCCCCACCGTCCAGCCCCAGGAGCCTTTCCCAGACCATGACTTTGGGAACAGCAGAAGCAGCTGGAAAGAGAGGAGTTCAGGGATGTATTTTTAAAAATAATTTTATACGTTGTGTGTCCTTGTTTCTCAATTTGATCCTTTTACATGGTTTTGTGGTATTTTATGCATTGTGATTTGCTGTTGTTGTTTTTTTAAAAAATGATTATAGATTAGTAATTGTTCATCGTAATTGCTAAGAGTAAACCGTTTAATTATTATTTGCTGATGATTAATTTTACTGTTTACGATTGGATTTTAATGGATTATTGAATATTGCTTTATTTGATATGTTGTTTATTTTAAAGTTATTGCGACTTCTTATATTGGATCAGATTGTTACTAATTCATGTTTGATGTTTTATTATTATTTTTATATGCGTTGGAAGCTGCCCAGAGTGGCTGGGGCAACCCAGCCAGATGGACAGGGTATAAATTGTTGTTGTTGTTGTTGTTTGAAGTGGCTATGTCTCCCACTTCACAGAGGACAGCCCTCTATTTAAAGGCATCCTCTGTCTGAGGGGCTGCCTTGTCTAAGCATGATTTAAATAACTATAAGAAGAGAGAGCGACAGCCAACCCCTGCACAGACTGAGTAGGCACACAGGTCACTGCTAGGCTAGCTACTATTTAAGCTGTAGTAAAAAATATATATGCATCTACATGTCTAAATTGAGGCCCTTTCTGGTAAATCTGTATTACCAGAAATTGGAGTTCCATTCTTAGTCATGGTTTGATACAGAGCGCAGGAGAAGGAAACTGTCTCTGGCAAAAGAAGCAAGATCTTTGAGGTCAAATAAATCAGATAAGCACACTTTTTGTTTTGATCCAATGAAGTGTGTACAAGAATGTCTAAGGGGAGAAAAAGTGCATTTGTATTAATAAATTCTGCAGAGCTCTTGGGCAAGCTTTAGTGAAGAGAGAGAGAGAGAGAGAATTTTGGAACCTTATACAGTGCTACCTCAGGTTAAGTACTTAATTCGTTCCGGAGGTCCGTACTTAACCTGAAACTGTTCTTAACCTGAAGCACTACTTTAGCTAATGGGGCCTCCTGCTGCTCTGCCGCCGGAGCATGATTTCTGTTCTCATCCTGAAGCAAAGTTCTTAACCTGAAGCACTATTTCTGGGTTAGTGGAGTCTTTAACCTGAAGCGTATGTAACCCGAGGTACCACTGTAGTGCAAGGACCTAGGCAAATGAAATCATTTATGAAGGATTTAGATTCTAAAATCATTTTGAGAATGTGTTTAATGTTTAAAGTCAGTGTGGTGTAGTGGTTAGGGTATTGGATTAGAACTGGAGAGACCAGGGTTCAAATCCCTCTCAGACTAACCTACCTCACAGGGTTGTTTGCAGGATAAAATGGGGGGACTATGTAGGGCACCTAGAGCTCCTAAGAAGAAAGAGGGGTGTATGAATGCAATAAATAGATAAAATCAAAAATAAAATCAATGGTACACTTCCAAGTTGCTCAAGCAGAGCCTGTTGTGATATATGAAATAGTAAACAGAAAACTTTTGAGTTGTTGCCACATTGGCTTAAGAGAGCATTATGTACAGCTCTGTTGGAAAAACTTAGCATTTGAAGGTACTACAAGGCGCTGCAGAATCTGAGATTTTCACTGCCATTTGGTGGATCTTCATAGCCCGCATAAATGCCCAACCTGCACAGATATTTACTTTGAAAATATCAGTGAGTTACGACCTTCCCTGGTCTCTGAGACCCCCCAACAAATGGTTAATTGAGGACCCCTTGCTCTTTGTATCCTTCTGCCAGTGCCCCCCTTTTGGTTAGTACCCCCAGACATATGAAACCATGGAAGAATCTGCTTCTTTGTTCTTTATCTGAAAATACAAAATAAAACAAACTTTTCCAGGCTACCTTACAGAAATGCATGGATTGAGGGTATAGGATCCAGTTACCTTGCGGATGCTAAACAGGTCTGAATCTGGGCAGTGCTTGTATGGGAGACTACCTAGGAAGCCTGTCACCCACCTGCTTTTGATTTCCATGATGGGAGTCTGGTGGGGGATAGAAACGTACTAAAGAAATAAATGACGTCTGATAAAACCAAAACGACAAAATAAAGACAGACTTTTGCAAAAACACAACAGTAATCATTACACAGCAGGATAAAAGCAGCAAGGAAAACAGTCCCTGACACTGAGATGACACTGTTTCCATTGCCACTTTTATCCTGCTGGGAAGATAAAAATCTGTGAAAATAAAAAGGTCTTCTGCTGGCATTAGAGAGACATCAAAGTTGGCACCAGGTAAGCCTCCCTAGGGAGAACATTCCATAAGAGAGTGGTCCACATACAAAAGAGGGCAGGGCTCCCGGACTTTTAATAGTTGTGCAGAAGTGGGAATTTCAACAGGTGTGGTTTGTTATAGCGGTAGATGGAGGCCAGAGAGAAAATCTTGGTAAAGCTTTACTGAACAAACTGAACAAACAGTATTCAACTTCGGCAGAAAAGCAGTGGGCTTTTGTCTTTAAGGAAGGCCTTCTTCAGAGCAGGGTTACGTATACAGCGGTACCTTGGTTCTCAAATGCCTTGGTACTCAAACAACTTGGAACCCAAACTCTGCAAACCCATAAGTAAGTGTTCCGGTTTGCGAAATTTTTTCAGAAGCCGAATGTGCTCTGTTTTGAGGGTCACACTCCCGTTTTGAGTGCCATGCTTCCGTTTTGAGTGTTACACTGAGTTCTGTTTTTGCTATTTATTTTGCGTTTTTGTTTTTGTCACTCTTTT